AAACAGTAAATAGTGGGTGCTAAGGATGCCATAATACAGTTCAGAATATAGGACATACATTCATTCAGTTAACAGTAATCAGTTCAGAAAACAGTACAGTTCTGTTGTTCAGAAGATAATCAGTTTGAACATATCTTTACACAAATGTTACTCACAGAGTTCTGGGCTATAGCAACCGTGTCATCCTCCACCGATGACCAAGGACAAAACCTCTAGATGCATATAGTTAGTACATCTATTAAAAGACTCAAATATCATGAATCACTAACCTAACAACAATATTAACATGGTAGTTAAAGAAGCAACTTCTACATGTGTGTTCAACACTCAAGATACAACAATCCAATTCTCAAATTTATTTCGAAAACACTTCCCTCATTTTAACAAAAACGATTTCATTTCCTTTTTGTTATCACAAAACCAACTCCACAAATCTTGTTTCCATAAAATCAACTCCAAAGCCATGGTTAATCCCTTAGGCATTAACACCCTTACCACACTCATTTGACAAAAGAGATTTACACACAATGATTAACAAACCCTTATTTTAATTTACCCAATCAAAATATAATTTAGGGCTTTTTCTTCATTTAACTACAACATGCTAATTTATATTTATTTTAGCCAAGACAACAATCAATGAAGCCAAAACCATTCTCCACACAACCAACCCTAGGTTTATTTCATGATTTTCAAACAAATCCAACATGATACAATTTTCATGCAATACAAAAATTACCACATGTCTATCTATAGACGGAGTATTGAAAAAGAACAAGGAGATTCCCTACCTCAAATGGAGAACTCAAACAGAGAAGATGATCCGAAATCAAAGTGCTCCAAATCCCAAATTTCTTGGATCACAACGAAGCCCTCGACGATCAACACACTTCTTACAAAGGCCCAAGGTGAGGAAAACACTCTAGCTAGATCAATCCTAAGAGAGAAGTTAGGTTTTAGAGTGAGGTGCTCTCCAATGGCTTTTTCGGAAAAGTAAGAGAGAGAAAGGAAATCAAAAAGTGATTCAAAAAGCTGAATCACGGACTGATATAAAAACAGGTCCGCTCGAGCGTACAACACCCCGCTCGAGCGTCAGACACAGATTCACGCTCGAGCGTCCAAAGATCCGCTCGAGCGCCGGATGCACTCTCCCAGAATTTTCTGCAGACGTCCAAAATGCTGAGAGAAGGAAATTCACGCTCGAGCATCCAAACTGCCGCTCGAGCGGAGAGGAAACAATAAAAGCCCGCTCGAGCGTCAAATCACCGCTCGAGTGGAGAGACCAAAGCCTGGGCAAAAATTGTAAGCTTTAAAACATAACCAACTTATTCCCAACAAGTCCAACACAACCCAAAACTCTAAAATAAAGAGTAAGGGATAGAAAAGAGGATAAGACAACAACAAATCTACGGAACCAAGTCCGGATTACAGTTAAACAACAACAGGGAATACCGGGATCGCTATAGGTAAGGCTCATTACCCCTCTTGATTTTAGTTTTAGATTATTAATAAATTTCTCCTTATGTCGTCAAGGTTTACCAAAAAGTAAAAAATAAAAACTCTTTTTTGCAAGACATGGAATATTTTCTCTTTGTTTAATGTTCATTTAAGAAAATGATTATTTTAGCAGGATTCTATGTGTTTCCTTTCCTTTATTTAGTACTTATGGTTTTAGTTGAGACTTTGGCATGCTCTAATGACCTACCACTCGTGCAGGGATGGATCGAGGGGGTTTGCAGGGTGACCGCCACCCCAAAATTTTGAAATAACTCCTTAAATATAGTAGTATTAGTTATCAATATTTATAAATTATATAGGCTCACCCCTCCAAGATTTTATTGTTTTTCTTTAACTCGATTAGCAGTTTTAAGTTTCAATCATTACTCTTCAACTCTAGGTTTCCTTTCTCTCTTTGCCTCTTATTCTTCTTGTTTGTTTCGGTTCTATTCTTCTCTTCTTGTTCTTCTTTTTCCTCAATTTTTTCCTCTATCTTTTTTGTTATTTCAATTCTCCCCAGAACTCAATTTCCATTTTCAATTTTTCTTCCTCTTCTCCTTCTATTTTAAAACAACTTATATTTTCTATTCTTTCTCTTTTTCTTGTTTCTCAATTTAAAGTATGCCTTTCTTTCTTCTTCTTCTTTGAGATCTTAATTACATTTGATGGAAGCTGTACTCACCAACGAAGAGATCACTTTGCCATTGAGTATTTTCAAGTTGACATTTTACAATTACATGTGATACTCAATTACAAGAATTAAAAAAACTGATTGATTTTTCAAAATTGAAGATATTTGCAAGCTTGCAAGTAAATTTAATTTACATTTGAAATTCCAGTTAAAAAATTAGACATTTCGAATTTCAAAAATTGTTAATAATATTTGAGTTGTGCCAAAGTGTTTGTAAAACAAGAAAGTCGATAATCTATCCTCTTGTCAATAGATTGAATCATCATCTTTTAACTTTACCTATTTCTACAGTGACTACAAAATGCACATTTTTGTCAATGAAAATTATCCAAACTAAGGAACACAAGTAGTATTTTTTCTCCTTGAGTATAAGTTTGCCCCCTATGATTAAAATCATGCCTCCATCCTTACACTTGTGAACAGTCCTTCAAAAGCTTCATTGCTTCAAAAACCTATCTTTCTACAGTTAACATTTGGCAGTGACCAAATTTTCATTAATTCTTTATTTCTCTCAAATTGTTTGGGTTGGTCGTCAAATCAGAAATACTAATAACACTTGAAAGACTTTAGTTAATATTGGTGACTAACAATCCTGTTGATGTCTTGAAAATCATGTATGGAAAGGTAGGTAGTTGCTTCAATGAACTAACTATCCTATTTTAAGATATTCATAGTTCTCAGGTTTTCATATTCTGAAATTTTGGCATTGGTTTTCATTATATAATTTCCTTCTTTTGGAACCCTAAACTATTCGCATCATTTATCAAAGAATTCCAAGCAATTTAATCAATGTCTGGAAATGGGCCAGGAGCATTTTTGTTTACTTTTCCACCCTTTCTTTGTTTAACTATTTTCTGTTGGGCATTTTTAATTTTTGGCAGAACTTGCTTATACAATGAAAGTGAATGAGAAGTACGATGTTTATAGTTTTGGGGTGCTAGCACTAGAAGTGATTATGGGGAAGCATCCGGGTGATCTAATCTCCTCTTTATCATCATCCTCATCCTCATCATTAACATCAACTACGCAAGGGATATTTTTGAAGGATGTCTTGGACCAACGCCTCCTACCTCCGAGGAATCAAGTGGCAAAGCAAATAGTTGTTGCGAAACTAGCATTTGCATGTTTACACACCACTCCACTATCTCGGCCAACCATGCAACAAGTTGCTAGGATACTATCAAAGCAAAGGCCAACACTGCAAAATCAATTCTACACAATTACATTACGACAACTCTTTGACATCAACTGCTCGAGCTCTTGAGTATTTATTTTCCCTTTTATTCTTGGATTACATGATGTTCTTGCGTTCAATTGTCTTCTTATACTATTCAATTTCACCATGTTTCCTATCTATTTTGCTACTCTTTTATACTAATTACCATTTTACAAACTTTTATATGCCTAATTTAAAAGTATTAATCCTCTATAATTTCCATCACAGTTAGAGATACAATAATGTGTCTTGAATTCTACAGTAGCTCACTTGTTGTATAACATATATCTTGTCTCTCGATCAACAAGTAGGCTCTATATGAATAATAGACACACTCCATCTCTGGCCACCTTGCATGCTATCAACATGTACGACATTGTATAATATTCTGTCTTCTTGATTTTTGTATTTCCAGGTAGCTGGTGAACAAGATTTTCCATGGGAACTTGGCTCCGCTGTTATTGGAAATCTACAACTTTAGTCGTGAATTCCAAAAGCCAAGAGAACCAAGCTTGTTTTTCAAGAAATGCAAGGATTCAACTGAGTCTTCGTTGGTCATCTCAACCAGAGGGCAATCATCTAAGTTTTGGGTGGGTTTGTCCAGTTTTATGCGTTTTGTTTTGATTTTGCTTCTAGCAGGGTAGTGGTGTGGTGTGGTGTGTAGCTTTCATTTTTTAGGATTCTGTCTCCTATACTAGACTTAGGTGGTGTTTTTCTTTCGATCTCTCTATCCTATGGTTCACTTGTGATTGCTTTGTATATGAAATGAAGTTCATGAATCACACCTATGATATTTAACAAGCATTCAAGGTAGGAATCAATTTGCATAGGATGGATAATTCCTTGATCATTTCATAAACTCTTTCCTCCTTCCACTCAATCTCTTGAATAAACAAAGAAATGCTAAATCTTTGTAAGTCCCTAAATGTAACGCCCTCAAAATAATAACATTAACCCATCAATATAGACATGCATTGATATATAAAAGTTCCACATTCTTCTATTCATCAGAGTTTCATTACAAAAAGTGTTACATGTTAACGACAAAAGCAAATGCCCTAAAGGCTTACAGCTTTCCAAGTTAACACTTGGTTACAACAAAAGAGTACTAACTCATTTACACATTAAGCCCTTGGCTTGGATATACATGTAATACATCAAAAGAAATATGACAACAAAAGTGTGTCCGCCTCTTGCCTCCTAAGCTATGTCCTCTGAGGTGGCATGCTACCTGTACCTGAAAATGATATTCCCATATAGGGTGAGCCACAGCCCAGTAGAAACATACTAAACCAAATATGAACAATGACTAAAAGATTAGCAGTTGATAGATGGTCAACACATATACTTTCCCTTATCACACTTTACGGTTTCATGACATACAAGTCCGTATTACAGTCCATTTTCCATTTCTTTTCAATCCTCAATTTATAACCATGGCTCAGAACCTGGCCAAACAACTCATATGAGACGGTAACTCATATCAAACACTTCCCATTTCGTAATAGATAAGCATACTAGCTATATCACACACCAACAGATAAGCATACAAGCTATATCATCACTTCCACAGATATGCATATGAGCACTATCACACTTCCAATGACAAGCATATGAGCTCTGTCAATACATCACTAGATAAGCATATGAGCTCCATCTACGGAGTCCATCCCCTATCTCCTCCCAACAACATCCGGTTTAGAGGTCCATCCCCTATCTTCCCCTAAACCGCGGAGTACATCCCCTATCTCCTCCAACACAACACAATGCATATAAACAACAATTATACACATCATCACACAATACATAAATTTAATGTATCCTTTCAATCGTCAATCTCAATGACACATTCCAGTGATTAGTTTCCGTTTGCCTAATCATCATGCATTGTCTACAACAATCAAGACTATCTTCCACCGATAGCCCAAAGCAGTTATTTCTAAACAGAAAATAAATGCACAAATGGATATTAAATCAACATTTTAATTCGGTGAGCGATAAGTAATCCAACTACACTCTTTAACCCCTTCCCTTTCCAATTTCCACATTCTCAATTCAATTCCTCATTCCCAACAATTAATTATACAAATTAATCAATCAATGTAATTAGGAAATTTTCCATAATTAACATTACGACCCTTAGGTTCCATTTTCATTAATGTTTTAACATTAATTTTCACTTTTTCCATGCCGAACATGCATTTAGGCTTTATATAGTTAAAACCCCAACTTTTGTAAATTTACACAAAAGCCCCAAAACTTTCACAAAATTACCAAACTAACCCCAACATCTCAAAATACTAAAATTTAAAGACAAAGCTCATAAAGGGGAGTAGGATATCCCTACCTCAAAGTTTGAGCTAAAATAGAGATGAAGACCAAAACCAAAATGCTTCAAATTCTGAAATTTTCATATTAAAATGTAGCCCTCGACGATCAACACAACTTTCGTAAAGACCAAAAGTGAGCAAACAACTCCTACTAGATCAAATCTAAGAGAGAAGGGCCAGTTTTAGAGTGAGAAGCTCTGAAAATGGCTTTTTGGAAAAGTAAGAGAGAGAAAAGATCTTGAAAAAGTGATACAAAAGTCGAATCGCGCTTTTAAATAAGAGTCGCTCCGCCCGAGCGTCAAACTCCCTGCTCGAACGTCACTCACAGACTCCCGCTCGAGCGGCCAATCCCCCGCTCGAGCGTCGGATGCACACTCCCAGCACTTTTGCAGACAGGTCTCCCGCTCGAGCGTCCAACTCCCCGCTCGAGCAGCACTCACACAATCTCGCTCGAGCGGCCAATCCCACGCTCGAGCGTCCAACACTGTACAGGAAAAACTGGATGGGTGAAATTCCCGCTCGAGCGTCAAAACCCCCGCTCGAGCGGACAAGCAGCAAAAGGGTCCCCACTCGAGCGTCAAACTCCCCGCTCGAGCGGACAGGTCAAAATCTGGTTCGTGCACACTAAAGTTTTGGTTTCTAAACTCAACACACAACCTGTTAACAAAGCCTGCCAACCATCCTAAACTCAAATACAAAGTAAGAAGGGATGTACACAAGGTAATAATCAACTACTATCATCCACGGACACATGTCCGGATCACTGTACAACAAGGATAAACCCGGGATCGCTATAACTCCCCCCTTAAAGAATTTCGTCCCCGAAATTTGGCACAAGTTTAAAAAAAGTTTTCTCCATTTTAAACAGTGTTTACATTTTTAACATTCAATACGCTCGACCCATTACCCGGTCCACTTCCTTTTTTCCTGTTTTCTTTCTTAAAAAGTTTTCT